TATTTATACGTTCCACTTCATTTTGGACATTTTCCCGAAGGTTTCAGAAGTAGTCTGCCTTTTCTTCTTACTAATCAATGTATCTTAATCTGGAAACTTGGCTGAAACCTGTCCTCCATGGGCGACACCGCTGGTGTGTAAAATACTGGTGGCATAGTTTCCAGCTTCACAGCAACACACAGGTCACCACAGTGCAACACACTGACAGATGAGTGTTGGCACCCTAAAGATAGTTTAGGAATTGTGTTGGCTCTTAAATAATTCTGTGAGATGCATTTTAATTTTCTGATTTATAATGCGGTATATTCAACCTTTGTTTTACTGCTAGAATTACTTTATTGAAATAAATGCTTTTCTAAAATGTAAAAGAGGAAAATTCTATTTAAGAGGAATATCAAAATTTCACATTAATCCCTGAATTTGCTTTCTCAATTGCAGACTGGGTTTTACGTACCTACGGCTGAAAGACAATTACATGGAGATACTGAATAGGGACAATGATATTGAAAGGTGAGTTACTATACGCTTAAATATGGGACCATAAGAAAGAGTCACCTCTGCACATTTGGGGGAACAAAGAATTCTTCATTCTCCCCTCACAATGTGCTCCCTCTCCTTCCCAGTAACACCCCCAAGACTATCACCAAAACATTCTCAAGAATTTATAGCATTTGGGTAGTTAAAGAAATTGGCTTGGTGGTACATCAGGGCGTTTCCTACCCAGATGCTTTTCCTTGGAGATGTAAATTGTATCCATTATGTGTGTGTGTGTATGTATGTGCATATGTATATGTGGAGTTTCATCATCAAACATACAAGGGACTTCAGAAAGCTTGAGGAAATGCTCGATTCTTTTTCATCCCTTTTCCCACAAGCTTTTTGAAGCCCGTGTGTATTTTGTGTCGAGACATGCTAAAATTGTTGGTCTTTTTTTTTCACTGCTGGAGTTTCAGTTTTTCTATGTTCTGGTACTTTCCAGGGCTCTCTTACTCTTCATGTGACGGATAAAGTAAACAGCTTCCCCCAGTGTGTGGCCATGTAACACCACTTTCATAGAACCCAAATTAAGATTTCTTCTAACAGAGTATTTCATGCACAGCAATTTGAGAAATTACATTTTTGAATAACCAGTTTGAGATTAGCTTAACTTTTCATATCTTTAGTGACCTTGTGCTTTTGATTTTTAGGGATTGTCTCAGTTTCCGTTCACTGGTTCCACAGACAAGTGAGTTTTGGTTCAGAAGACAGAGTAATTAAGCTTTCCTTTATAAATAAATGTGCAGTAATGGGTACAGGGAAAGACAGGAAAAAACGAACATAAGATTTTGTGGTGATTTCCTCAAATAAACTAGATTGTAAAATTTGTTCTTAAGAAAAATAAACTCCTTGGTGATTGGAACTAGAGTGTCTCTCTTGCCTGGAGCACGCAGCTGCCAGGGGACACGGGGGCACTGCAGACCCCCAGGTCCTTAGCAGCACATCGTTATAGTGACATGATTGATGTCCATTGTCTACAATGGAGACTTCTAATTTCAAAGTAAAAAGGGTAGATTGACTCACTGTTGAAATTTAAAACCACAGTACAATGCTGCTGAGGTGTTTATAAGGATATCTTGTAGCAGCCAGAGCTTAACCAGCTTCATACTTCCCTCCTGAGGTTGCTGACTGGGGTCATTAGGCTCTGAGGAGTTTTCCAAAGTTTGTTGTTGTTGTTGTCAGGTGCCATCGAGTCAGAACTGACTCATAGTGACCCCATGCACAGCAGAACGAAACAATGTCCGATCCTGGGCCAACCTCACTACCGCAGCCACACTTGAGTCCATCAGTGATGTCACCCGGCTGATCCATCTCGTTAGGGGTCTTCCTCTTTTTCTCTGACCCTCCACCTTACCCAGCATGACATCCTTCTCCAGCGACTGTTTCCTCTGGACATCATAGGCATCATAGGCATACAAATGTAGTTTGTATACATACATACATACTTTCCAAAGTAGTGCTAGGAATTCTGAACTATCTTCAGTATTTCAAATTCCAGACAGAAATAGTAAGTCTTCTGATCATAAGACCGCACAACGTGACTGAAATTCTACCTCTTTGCCTTTTGCTATAATTTTCGTCTCAATCAGGAAAACACCAGTCTTTCTCAGGTCTCAGAAATTCTGATACCTATTTGTATGCCTATGATGGACAGAATTCTTAAAATTGAACCAATACATAAGAAATGCAGATGCTTGTGGTAAAATATACTCTTTTAAACACACTACTGTAAACCACAAGGTTGGAAATTCAAACCTACCACCTGCTCCTCAAGAACCCTGTATAGGGTCACTGTAAGCTGGAACCGACGCAGTGAGCACCTAACAGCCCCCCCGGCTCGGGCTTGCTGAGATGAATCTGAACAGCAGAAGGTCCCTGGTTGTGACGAAACTCAGTCTCAGCCTCGTCCCATCAGAGAGAGTCAGCATCATCTACACGAGGCGGAGAGTTTCAGGCATCCCATCACATAAGTGTTTGGACATTTTGAAAATGTATGTGTGTTGGGGGGGGGGGCATACATTCAGATTCCTTTGTTCAGATCGCTGCTTTATATCACTGAAAGATAGGAGATTTTTTTTTTTATGGATTATACATAGGAGGGAGAACCATTCTATTCATTCTACTGCTTTCTTGAGAAAAACGTAGGCCATACTATGGGGCTTGATCATGATCAAGACAGGGCTGGGTGGAGATGACTCTATTTTCTCTCTCTCTCTCAGGTTTGAATTACTGGAAATTTTGAGTTTTGACTCCGTAAGAAGGAGAATGAGTGTAATTGTAAGATCTGCTACAGGTAAAAAATTGTTTTTGCTTTCATTCCTTAAATTATACATTATGGTCATTTTTGGTTTGTGTGTTAAATTCTATAGGCGCTTTAAGGATTACCACCTATTTTGTTTAAAAAGAAAAGATTGATAAACCCTTCTATTATATTCATTTTTTATTTCAAAACAAAAGATTTTTTTTTTAATGTTTAAAAATGATTAGAAGGCTAAACATCTAACATGCTATTCCTTTGTACGACTTCCGAGTATTGATTTGGGATCATTTTGTTATTGAGAATTTTATATTTCTTTCCATTTATGAATATCCTCATTGCGTTCCTTTATATACAAGTATATATGGATAATGTTGTTGTTGCCAAGTGCCACTGAGTCAATTCTGACTCATATAGACCATGAGTGGGGTTTCCAAGGAGTGGTTGGTGGATATGAACTGCCGACTTTGTGGTTTGCAGTCAAGTGCTTATTCTCCAGTGCCACACCAGGCTTTTATTTTTGGGGAAAAAAAAAAAAACAAAAAACTTTTTGTTTTTTCTAGAAAAGATAGTACAGGCTTGCTAATGGGTCTGTAACACTATTCACAGTTTCAGATGAAATGAGCCTTGTTTGTTGGTTGGTCACTGTAGTAATGTATATTTATCAGAGAACAGCAAACTGGTTTGTTTTATAGAAGATTGGTATGATAATAAATGGTGTGAAACAAATCAAATTCCTTTAACAAAAGTGGTTGAATTTTGTTTGTAAATGACCATGTAAATTCCAGAGTCCTAGGTTCTGATTTTGTAATTTTCTCCTTGTACACTCTGTTCAATGTGGCCAGTCCTTCCTGGGGAACTGGTGTGTGCCTTTGCTAGCTCCTCATCTCTCAGAACCACAGCAGTGTAGGCTCAGTTACCTAGGTTCCCCTCAGCTTCCTCCTCTTATCTCCCCATACCCTTTCCTCAATAAGCACTCTTGCATTGAAATCTCACTGGTTGGTGAACAGACCTTTTCTCTAACCCAGACCACTCAGTCAGGTGCCACCATTGAATAGCAAGCACTGGTTAAATTCTGTTCTTCCTCCTGGTGCCTTAGACTCAAAGGCTTTGGTCACTCACCTGTTGGCAGAGCCTTTCGAGTTTGTGTGCACGGTGCCCATCTCCTTTCAGGTACCACTGCCAACACCTAACCTCTTTCCTAACAGAGTTCCCATCCGCTGCAGTCTCTGAGTCTGTCATCCTGCTACCAAAGGAGTCTCCTTCCAGCCTGTGTGTGCTTGCATTCCCTGGTAGAAACGCTGTGGCTCCACGCTGTGGCTCCGTATATTTGACTGGATCAAATTGGGTTCCTCCCCTCACATTCCAAGCTCTTGTCATTGAGACCCTACACTCCCTTCTACCCTTTGTCTGTCTCCACCTGGCCCCTAACTGTACACAGATGGAACTCCTTATTGTTTCCATACATTCCTCTTACCTGCCATGTATTTTCCCTCCTGGAAGGCCCCTTGTGCACAGTCCAAGTACTTCTCAGCAGCCACCTGGCTATTTCTGGTTGCCTCAGTCAAGTGTGATCTCTCCCTGTAAGTCACCCCCCATAGGACCCTGCTGACTGTTACTCTGATGACATTCCCATCTTTTGTTAGAGCTCTTCATTGGTCTCTTGCCTCCTGCCAGACCAGAAACATCCTGAATGCAGGGCCTGTGTTTTTCTCAGTAATCTACTCATCAGGAACACTCAGTCTGTTAAATTCAGTTTACTTAGTGCACTTTTAAAATGACATTTTATCAGGAGGTGAGGGATCTTAAACCTCTTTGTTTTGAGGGAACTTTGTTGTTTCCTAAACCTACATAGTAACAAAAAGAAAAACAAAAACAAGCAAAAACAAATAAACACCCCACTGCCCCCCAGTTGATGTCAACTTGCAGTGACTCTGTCCAGGGTTTCCGAGGCTCTAGATCTTTACAGGGGCAGAAAGTCTCAGCTTTCTTCTGAGGAGCGAGCAGCTGGTATCATTTCATTTTGATGTCAATTAAGCAGAGTCTCTTAGCTTGAGATATTCTAACGTCTTCTGTTTGGGACTAATAATAACCTTCTTCCCTCTTCTGAGACCACTGAAGTATTGTGAGCTTGCTGGCGGTGTACCTTACAGCAGTTTGTCAGTCAGTTTTCAAGAATTTGACTTTCTTGTGCTTGATAAACAGGCCAGTGAAGATTTGTAGCTACTCTGGGGAGCTGTCTGTTTCACAACTCATTCTCTCTTATCTGTAGTACCACTTAAGCCCTGAGGCATCGCCTCTTAACCAAATTATGAAGTATAATGGACGGAATGAGCTCCGGACAATGTGGCATGCACGAAAATGCCACAGAACATAGAGGAATGCCCACTATAGCTAACATAGCACTTAGAGGAAAAGGGGAATTTTGCCACTTGCGCCAGCAGAACACAGGAACCGTGCACGCTGCAGTGTCTGAAAACAAGTTCAGATATGCTAACACTTGCTCACGCGATAGAGGTGACTTCACCTCTCCTCTGGTGAAATATTATTCTGAGAACTTATGCCATTCAGAGTTTTTCAGAACAAAACATTATGAAATTTTGGACATTTACATATCAGACATTTTCTCAAGTGCCTTTTCCTCCTATAAATGTACAGTCTAGAAGTTGAATCATATGTAACAAGATCCAGCTCAGGACTCTGCAGATGTTATCCCAGTTCTCCAGAAGTGATGACTCAGTCATCCTGAAGCTACCTTCTGTAAATCTCCCACCCTGTTCTGCTCTCTGTCTCTGCATTCTTCTGAACTGCCACACCTGCCACATTTGTTCACATCATGGGCTAGGTCATGGGATCTTCATGAATAACTTCTAGTTATTATCAAAAAGGATGTCACAGAAATCTTGAAAAGGAGCTGGATTGTATCATAAAGGCCGTATTCATGTCATCAGAATATAGCATCCTTAAGAAGAGATTCAGGTATTTCCTAAGGTATCTCTGAGAAACACAGGAGACTGATTTTCCGCCTGAAAGCAACCACTCATCAGTTAATTGTGAGTGGAGGTTGACTATTTAAGTAAACACGCAGTTCCCCAGGTACTGAGACTTTCCCAGCCTAGCGAGCTACACTAACTGCACGGCCTTGCAACCGGATTGGCAGGTGATGCTGGAGACCATGATCAAGTGCTGCTGCTTTCTGAATGTTTGTCACTGACAACTATGACACAGGAGTTAGATCTCCAACCGTGACCACCATCAGAGTTAGCTCACCAACCTTGACCACCATCGGAGTTAGATCTCCACCCATGATCACCATCATCAGAGTTAGCTCTCCAACCTTGACCACCATCAGAGTTAGATCTCCAACGTTGACCACCATCAGAGTTAGATCTCCAACCTTGACCACCATCGGAGTTAGCTCTCCAACCTTGACCACCATCGGAGTTAGCTCTCCAACCTTGACCACCATCAGAGTTAGATCTCCAACCTTGACCACCATCGGAGTTGGATCTCAGTCCTTGAGCTTCAAATGACTTCCAATTTTAAGCACCAACAAAGGTTATTTCTGTTGCTCCTGGGATTTCAAAACTACTGAAAGACCAGTGTTCAAATGTCTAGATTTTAGTGATACGTACTTTTCATGGAGTTAACAGAGTTTGAATTTGAGGAAAGGTATAGGGAAGTCTCAAATAATTTTGTTGCATTAGATATTCCTGTTTGAAGAGAGAGAGAAATGAAGTGTAACTTTTCAGTAACCATCTGCTAATATTTACTCTGCAAGATGAAATATAAATAATATTTAAATAACGTAATTTAGAAAGAAAAAAAAAGTAGCAACTTCACACTTTCTTGGAGCTTCTCAATTCATGCCCTGTTTTTCTATCAGGACAGCCATTTCTGAGACATTTTATGTAGTACGTGGCTTTCCAAGTCATTAAACTGGCTTACATAAGACACAGCAAGAAACTAAGTTCATGATGAGCATTAACTACCGTTTTTATCTCTGACTCTTCTCCAAATGCTATTTGTTGTTGTTGTTAAGTGCCATTGAGTTGGTTCTGACCCATAGCAACCCTGTACAGGGTTTCCGAGGCTGTAAATCTTTATGGGAGCAGAAAGCCTCTTTCTCCTGCCGAACAGCTGGTAGTATCGAACTGCTGACCTTGAGGTTGGCAGCCCAATTCCTAACCACTACGCTACCAGAGCTCCTTCCAAATGCTATTAGAGCTCTTTTCTTTCTTGGAGTGGAAGGCCCGTCAGCCGTCCATGGCTCCAAGGTTGTTCCACAATTGGCACAACCCATTTGCTAATGGAAACTAAGCTTCTGTTTATTTACATTGCACATGTATAGGCTCTTGTCGTTGAGTAACTTCATGCTTGTTCTCAACACTAGAGAGGCAGGGTCTAAAGCTGATGCCAAATACTACTTAGGATTGAATTTTGCTTTTTCATCTGGAATTGTTTTTTGCTTATTTGTTTTTTGTCAAAAGCTCTCTATGACCAAGTCTTAACGCTGAATATGCCCTGTCTTAAATTGGGACTAGAGGAATTGATAAGTTGCAACAGTGAGAAATTTAAGCCATTCACTAGCCATTAGCATGAATCATGAGGTGCATAAAGCATAATTTTTATTGTGTTTTGTGTTACTGTTCAAGAATGTATCATATTATCTTTGCTATAGTTATTCAGTAACAGTATCTGATGACATGGGAGCATTAGCTAGAAATGACATCTGTTCGTCTGGAATTGATTCTGAAATCAAGCTAGTTTCAGCTGAAGCATCTGCTTTTCCATGAGGAGTGGTTCATAATCCTTGGTCAACATTTAGATAGGTTTTGTAGGGTACCCCTAGGAATAGGACTTTTGGGGGGTGGATGCTCACTCAGTATGACTTGTAATTGCTTCCGGTTGACTCCCAAACTTTTGTGCAGCCATCTGCTCAGCTTCATGTTCTTCAGAACAGGAGCCCATTGTTTCCTCAATGTACTGGTTTGATTCTTAGATGCCTTCCTTTCTGGCCATAGGTTGACATTAACCTTGGTTTCTTTGAGTATAAATCTTATCTTCGTTTAAAACATTTTTGCTGTGTGTGTATCAGAGCAGTTAATACTTACTAGGATCTAAGAAATAAGCTCTGGTGTCAGGGTCTGACCTCGACATAGTTGTGTTGTTCACGAGTGTTTGGTTCACGAGGAGGGGAGATCCAGTGGCGATAGGGATAGCGAAAGAATACACAGACAAACAGAAGAAGGGAGACAATGAGGCACCCCAAAGCCAGGGTGGATACATCACTGGTGGGCAGGCTTGGGACT